TCTATCTATCTATCTATCTATCTATCTATCTATCTATCTATCTATCTATCTATCTACATACATATAATTTTTTCCCTCCAACTACCCTGATACTGACAAAGGTCTCATGAGTTACCAATATGATCTTTCCATGCAGGACTATAAACAGTTCAATCTTAATAAGTCTCTTATGATTTCTCTTTCCTGTTTACCTCTTCATGTTCCACTTGAGTCTTGTATTGGAAAGTCAAATTTTCTATTTAGCTCTGGTCTTTTCATCAAGAATGCTTAAAAATCCTCTATTTCACTGAATGACCATTTTTCCCCCTGAAGGATTATACTCAGTTTTGCTGGGTAGGTGATTCTTGGTTGTAATCCTATCTCTTTTGCCCTCTGGAATATTATATTCCATGCCCTGTGGTCCCTTAATGTAGAAGCTGCTAAATCTTGTGTTATTCTGATTGTGTTTCCACAATACTTGAATTGTTCCTGTCTGCTTGTAATATTTTCTCCTTGACCTGGGAACTCTGGAATTTGGCTACAATATTCCTAGGAGTTTTCCTTTGGGGATCTCTTTTAGGCAGTGATCAGTGCATTCTTTCAATTTCTATTTTGCCTTCTGGTTCTAAAATATCAGGGCAGTTTTCCTTGATAATTTTTTGAAAGATGATGCCTAAGCTCTTTTTTTTTTTTTGATCATGGCTTTCAGATAGTCCAATAATTTTTAAATTCTCTCTCCTGGATTTATTTTCCAGGTCAGTTATTTTTCCAATGAGATATTTCATATTGTTTTCTAATTTTTCATTCTTTTGGATTTGTTTTACAGTGTCTTGATTTCTCATAAAGTCACTAGCTTCCAATTGCTCTATTCTAATTTTTAAGGAAGTATTTTCTTCAGTAAGCTTTTGGACTTCCTTTTCCATTTGGCCAATTTTGCTTTTTAGGACATTCTCCTCATTGGCTTTTTGGACCTCTTTTGCCATTTGGGTTAGGCTATTTTTTAAGGTGTTATTTTCTTCAGTATTTTTTTGGGTCAACTTTAGCATCACTCTCAGTTTTTCCTCTACTTCTCTTACTTGCTTCTCAAAATCCTTTCCGAGCTTTTCCATGACCTGAGACCAATTCATATTTTTTTTTTGGAGGCTTTGGATGTAGGAGTTTTGGCTTTGTTGTCTTCTTCTGGGTGTATGTTTTGATCTTCTTTGTCACCAAAGTAAGATAATATATTATGATTCTTTTTATGCTGCTTGCTCATGATCCCAGCTAATTACTTGAGTTATAAATGCTTTGTTAAGGTAGGGTTCTACTTCCAGTATGGAGAATGCGCTGTCCAAAGCTTCAGGGGTTTTGTGCAGCTATTTTCAGAGATACTTCTAGGGATCTGTAAATTTTCAGTTCTTCCAAGTTGCTATGATCAAGGGCAAGGTGTTTACTCCTTTCCTGGCCTGTGCTCTGGTCTGTGAGTGACCAGAAGCTCTCTTTTCTGTCTTGGAACTGTGAGGAGGATTTCCTCTCCACAGCCACTACAAGCTCCACCAAGCCAGTGCTCTTCCTCCTTCCAGGACTGCCACCCAGAACTGTCACCCAAATCCAAACATGGGCAAAGCAAGAGAATCCTGCACCAGCAGAGAGATCTCTGCAATCCCCCTCTGATCAGCCACTCAATTCCCCCTCAGTCTGTGGGCCAGAAGTTCAGGAGGCAGCCACTGTCCCGGGGCCGAGCTCAGGAACTGGAGCTGAGACCACCGTGCTTCTCTCTCTTACTGCAGACACAGACTTTTCCCACTGACCTTCTAAATTGTCTTTAGCATTCATAAGTTAAGAAGTATGGAATCTGCCACCGCTGCCCACAATTCAGTCCTCTGAGACCTGCCCCAGGTTTGCTGTGGCTGGCACACCCATGCTGAACTGAGCTTCTCTCCCCTCCTGGTGCAATATACCTTTCTGATCAACCATCCAGGCAGTCTTGGGCTGGAAATTTGTTTCACTCTGTCTTTTTGTGGGTTCTGCTGCTCTAGAATTTGTTTAGAGCCATTTTTTACACGTATTTGGAGGGGTTTGGGGGAGAGCTCAAGTAAGTCACTGCTTTTACTCTGCCATCTTGGCTCCGCCCTCCTCCCTATGGCACTCTTGTCATAGATTGAATACTCAATACTTTTCACTACTTTACGTGCTATTTACTGCCATACTGACTCTCCCTGCACTTCTGGAATGACCCACCACTGGCTCCCCTTCTGGGAAAGGTGGCAGGTAACATATTTACACTGCTTCATCCACTCCAACTCCAGACTTAGCATATAAATTTAGCACAACCTCACCACCCCAAAAGCACACCATGAAATCAATGCATGCTTGTTTATTATCCTTTTCCTCTCCAACTATACTAGAATGAAAATGGAGAGCAGACATACTGAGTCCCAAAAGTTCATAAATTTAGAAGCCTGATCATCACTTTACAGATAAAGAAATGGAGGCCTGGAGAGATTAAATGAATTGTCTATAGTCACATGGGTCATAAACGTCAAATGTGGGATTTAACCTAGGTTTTTCTGATTCCAGAGCCAGATACCTTGATTTATATTAAGATTATTTCTTTTTATTCAATTTCAACACACATATATGTCTATAGTGAGGTGGAGGTTCATATAAATAAATACTGGTAATACAAGGTCATATTTATATAGAGAAAAAGATGACCCCTCAAAACCTCCATTCATGCTTTAAGGGAAATAGAAGGTATAACATCACCTGTATCCTATAACTAGAACACTCTCTGGTCATAGAAAAGCTAGGAAAGTCCTAACAGACAGAATCCTGGCTACAGTGGGGAAAATGACAGAAGTAGAGATGGAAGGGAGAAAAACATAGGAGTTGAAATAATACCTCTTATGTGTTAGACAACTGTGCTAAGTGCTTTTTACAAATATCCCATTTGATCCTCACAACAACCCTGTTAGGTAGGTGCTATTATTATCCTCATTACAGAGTTAGGAAACCAAAGCAAATAGCAATTAAGTGACTTATCTAAGATCACACAACTAAAAGGTGTCTGAGGCTGGATTTGAACTCAGGTCTTCCTGATTTAGGTTCAACACTCTATCTTCAATGCCACTAGCTAAGGTATTCACTAAAGAAGTCAGGGGAGAAGATGCATATCAAGGTTATTCTTCCTTTTTATGCCTGGCAAGGCATAAATCAAGCTTCTTCCTGAGCATGCAAAAGGAAGTACAAAATCTACTGTACCTATTTTGGGAACTTTCACATGGGATAAGAAAATCCCCCCCCAGAATGGAGGGGAGTCTTCTCTATGCATAATGTTATGACACTTTAACACATAGATTTTAAAAGACTCCAGTGAAGATCCATGGTCACTGGGATTATTTTATCTTTATGGTGACAGGTCTTGTTTTTGCACATCAGTAAAATAAGTAAATTGTTCTTTGGTGTCCTGCTACCTAAAATTTCAACTCCCTTCTCTCCTTTTTTTTTCCTTTCATATACAACTTTATTGACCCATTCCCAGGGGGTCAAGGACAGAAGGCTACACTGCAGCCGGGCTCCTGGCCGGCCCATGGACAACACTCTCCAGACAGAAGTCTATATGATGTTGTTGCTCTTCATGGAGTCCATTAGCAACTTCGAGCGCTTAGGGAAGGAGAGTGTGAGGGATAAGGCCTGGCTGGGGCCCAGAACTTGGGCCTTGACCATCACAGGATTGGACATCCAGGGCTGGAGAGCCGTGTACGTGAGTGAGCCAGTTAAGGGACGGCCTGGGGGCCAGGGCTGGTCGTTCTTGGGCCACATCTGGGGTAAAGCACCCTTGGTCTTCAGACGAGTGGTCCACAGCGGAGGGGGGCTGGTCCTTATCCACCAGGGTAGATCAGCCCAGGACCTTGGGGTCCAGATCCAGGTCCAGGGCGGCGGACGGGGACGGGTAGGTTTCACAGTTGTGGTCTTAGGAACAGTCGGGATCGTGGTCCGAGCAGGTAGTTCAGTAAAGACAGTGGCCGACCCAACCTTGGAGGTGATCCAGTCCAGAAAGTGCCAGGTGGACGTGTAGATGCCTGGCCGAAAGGTGCGGCCGCAGCTAGCCCCCCAGCTCGTGATGCCGACCAACAGGAAGGTGCCGCTGTAGGCGTCTTTACACATGAGCGGCCCCCCGCTGTCCCCTTGGCAAGTGTTGACCTTTCCACTCCAGTAGCCAGCACAAAGGTTGCTCTGGTGAACCCTCCCATAATACCAGCGGGTTCTGTTGCACAACCTCGTATCAAGCAGGTCAACTTCGGCTTCCTGTAGCATGGGATGTGGCATAAACGATTCTTCCGATATGCGCCTCCAGCCACCAATGGCACACTTCGACTGAGGCGTGACTGTGGGCTCCTTAGCCCGAGGCAGGCAGGCAATACGGACCAGGTCCCCACACTCTATCGGTCTGTCCATCTCGATCAGTGCAATGTCATTTTTATTAAGCTCTTTATTGTAATGTTCATGTGCTATCATCTTGATGGGCTTTCGCTCCTGCACTGTGGAGTCCAAGGGGCGGTGGGTCCAACCGATGTCAATCTTCAATGCGCCAATCAACAGCCGCCATCTATCGTAGTTACTGGGGAAAGAATCAATGAGGACCTAGAGTCACCTCAGACAGCGAAGGGAGGGAAGGCAGAGAAGGCGATATGAGAGAGAGGGAGAGAGAGGGGGAGAGGGAGAGAGAGAGAGAGAGAGAGAGAGAGAGAGAGAGAGAGAGAGAGAGAGAAGGAGGGAGAGACAGAGAAATAAGCAGAAGACAGATGGAGAAGAAGAGAGACAAAGAAACCATTCTAGAAGCTACCATACACACAGACACAGAAATGGAAGAGGAGAGAAGAGAGAGAGAAACTAGGACCCTTCATCCAGGTTATGCCCAGGCAGGGCTTCCCCAGAGACAGACAGACAGAAAAAGAGAACAAACCCCCCCCCCCATAAAGAGCCCTGGGGAGGGAGACCTTTTTTGCCCACCCCTCCTCCACACCCGGCCCCAGCTCACTCACGTTTCATTTTTATTGAAGCAGTGGGCAGCAGTGAGAACCCAAGTTGGAGATATGAGGGTGCCCCCACACATGTGGTACCTATACTTGCCATTCCAATACTGTATCTGTAAACTGACTATCCAGGGCCAAGAACCTGGGCTTGCGTCCGTGCCCCCAATGATCTGAGGGCCAGATGTCTTGAAAAATGGTCTCTGTCCACAAAGGCCCGAGCACGATGACTCAGGATCAGCCCTCGTAGTCCCCAGGAGGGACAGCAGCACTATCTGCCACAACATCCCAGTCACCATCATCCTCCAGTCTAAACTGGAAGCCTAGAAGAATTCCCAATTGTGCACTCCTCGGGCCAATCCCAGGCCTGAACCTCTGTGATGCCAGAATAGAATCTGGGGGGAGGGGCCCCTTGAGGTCAGAGAGGACACAAGTGGCCACCATTCTGATGATCCACAAAGCATTTGCCACAAGAAAGCCCCATGAGGCACGTGGTACTGCTGAGGTTTTAGAGGTTTAGGGATACTGGGACCAAGAAATAGCAACATGCTATTCAGGTCCTGTCCTAATGAATTTGAACCAAGCCTTCTTTCAGCCAAAGACAAAGTTTGTTAAATAGTCACCATATTGGCCAGACTCTTAAGGAATCTGAACATTTGTGAGATTTGTATTGATAAGTGTGCTAGAGTAAATCTCAGTCATTGGCTAGATTTTAAGAATGTGAGCACCTTAATGGAGACAAGATGGACCTTATATATAGAAAGACTGTGGGAGAGATCTAGGAGTGGCCAAGTAGGTTTGGGGTGACTGGAGGAGGGTCTAGGGAGGATCTTGATGAGGATTCCCTTCTCTCCTTTTGAGGTAGTATCTGTTCCCAGGAATCCAGAAACTTCATGTTGTCCTCTGAATTACTAAGCTCTACATAGATATTTACTTTCTGTGTCCTAGACTTAGCTATCCATCCACTTCAGTATCTAGAATTGCTCTCAACTGGTTATGCTGGTAAAATTCTGACAAAACAACTCACACTATTTTCTAGTGCTGGAATTATAACAAGGGATCCAAAGTAATAACTAGTGTAATTTCAAATACTAGGGATAGCCTAGTGAGGGAGATATTCCTGGACAGTGGCATTTCCTTGTTGCCTTCAGATCCCATCATATAGGCAGCCACCTACTCTGCTTAAGCCTTGGGCCTGATCCACATACAGGATAAGTGTATGCTTCAGTCAAGTACTTTGAGCAGTGCCATGAGGAGACTAAAGGATCTGAGAACTTGGCATAAGAAATGGTGCTAGAAAAAGCCTGGATTCTACATATTATCAGGTCCTCATGGTGTTTTAATTTTTTGATTTTATTTTTAATTTATGGAATAAAACAAGTATTTCTATAAAATAGTGTAATAAAAAAGATGGTTGCACATGAAACTGAAAATCTATTATGTACAACTTGCTATTTCTTTCAAATATACAATAAAGTTATCATGTAAATGATAGCTTTTTTCTTCACTCCCCCCACCCTAAAGATGGCTGCCATTAGCCATAAATACATATGTGTATATATGTATATATATATATAATATATCATTCTATATATACTTCTATTTATCACTTCTTTCTCTGGATGCAAATAGTGTCTTCTTTCATATGTCCTTTGTAGTTAATTTGGGTATTTATAATAGTCAAATGATTTATTTGCTTAAAGTTGTTCTTAAAACAATATTGCTGTTACTGTATACAATGGTTCTCTTGGTTCTGCTCATTTTTCTCTTACTTTGTGCAAGTCTAGACATAGGCACCAATGAGAGAAAAGAGAAGTGCTCTGAGAATATTTTAAAGAATACCTATTTGCAAACAGCCAATAGCTGTTTCTACGTATGGTTGCACTGGAAAAAGAGAAAGCAAGAGTGGAATAGGATAGCATTGCGGCATAGCAGTGCTGTTCCCAGGGAGTCTGGTTAGCTTGATATCCTTCCAAATGTGGCCATATTTGCATCCCATTGTTTCATGTGCGTCCTTTAGCAAGTTTTATGCATTAGGTTGTGTGATAAAGTGAGATCATAGTCTCAAGTGAAAAGGGAGATGACTCAGTCACAAGGTCAGTGATAGCTACTACAAACAGCTATAGCATAAATACTAGCCTAGACACAACAGACCCAAAGCCTGGAATAGCTTTGCTTTTATATGTTGTATACAAGCAGCCTCAGAATGTGAGAGGAGCTACTATTTTCATTAATGTTATTGGCAATAAAAATTGCCTTCCTGCTTGGAAAGCTCACCTGTCTTACTTTCTTGATTGAAGTAACAAACATTGCAAATTCTAAATTCTTACACAAGTTTAGTATTTTGAGTAATGTATCTGAAACTAAACTGATGCTATTAACAATATGAATTGATAGCAGCAAAGAGAGAAATCCTTCTTATACACTTGCTAGTGACATTTAGTTATTTATTCCTTTATTCCTCAATATTCATGTTATCAGAAAGTTTGCATATTTGCCGGATTTCTTGATGCTTACATGTTTAAAAATCACCCAATATATTTTAGTTTATTGGCTCATACCAACCAAGAGAAGCCCAGACTTAAAAGTAATAGATAATTTCTAGATGCAAAACAGAGCTTGCCATGAAGAGTTTACATTATTTCTCTCATTCAGGTTTTGGTTATTTAAGAATGCCTGTTCAAGATTTCTATAATTTTATAATGTTTTGTGCACTTCCACTTAAAAAAAAAAACTTAATGAATTTTAGTGCCATGGGCCCTTACTGTTCCTTTTCCCCCATAAGTCAATTTTATTTTTAACTTACTAAAATAATAATTTTCTCAGGTTGGAAAAAGGGGAGAAAAATAATCAGCTTGTTATAGCTAAGTAAGTGACTATTAAAAAAAGAGCTGTATTTTTAAAAATAAATTACTGTAAAATATTATAATAGATTAATTTGGGCATTTTTCAGGAAATACTTATTTTCTTTCATGTAGGACTATTGTTCTTATAAGCTTGTGCAGTAATTATAGCCTTTGCTAATGGCTTATGATCTCTGAGGTGTATGACAATGATTCCCTTACCTTTTTTGTTATATTGGGTTACCAACACACCAGCTATTTGGTGCTTTTTGCAAATGATGAACAGCACATTGGTAAATATAGAGGTAGGGAGGCAAAGAATAAAGAAAATTATTATTTTAGTATGTTGAAAATAAAATTGACTTATGGGGGAAAGTAGCTTAGTAAGAAAACTATGACTGGTCTGCTAGCATTCAACTTCTTTCTTCACCCTACTCTTTTCCTGGAATGTGTCTTGTCTGATAGGATGAATAACTTACAATCTTCTCTGATTCAGAACTGTTTATTCTGAAGAATAAAGAAATATCACGTAGCAACTTGTTTGTACCCTTACAGTTATTATGTACTTTTTTACATTATGATTATTTATATATGCCATTGCCCATAGCAAAACTGTTATCTCCCATAGACTTAATATTGTGTTCTACATATAATAGGTGGTTAATAAATATTTATTGAATGAAGGGAGTGGTATTTGAATGTGAGCTTTTATTTTTTGCTAAACTCTATAATTATTCAATTAATGATGAGTAAAAGAACAAACATCAAAATGTCCAGCTAAAGAAGTCTAGTGTCTCATAATAGTCAGTGGAAAAACTAGGGGATCATCTTTTAAGTTGCCAATCTGAGCTCTGCTAGACGGTTTTTTATGTTCTGCTTCCATTTGTAAATGCAATCGTACATTTCTTGTGGCCATGTTGTCAGCTCTTTACTGGTAATTTGACGACTTGATCTTGTTACACTTTCTCCCTGAAGTTACAATATGACTGGGGACAGTTCCAGTGATTTTGAGCAATTTAATCTTAAGTCATAATTCTGCAATAAGCCACATATAAAGTAAAGAGGGAGACAGTGTAGTGCAGTGGAAAGAATACTGAATTTAGAGTTGTAGGACCTGAGTTTGAAAATCAGAGCTTCTATGTTCTATCTTTGTGACCTTGGACAGATCCCATAATCTTTCTGAGTCTCAGTTTCTTCACCTATAAAATAAGGAGGTTGGGCCAGGTAACCTTTAAATTCTCTTCTAGTTCTGGATCTATGATCAGGAAAAACTTACCATGGGAAGTGGCATCTGAGCTCAGCCATGGAACTAAGAATTCTAATAGATAATATTAGAATTTAATATTAATTAATTAATAATAGATAAAATTAGAATTTCTAATAGATAGATGCAATGAAGGAGTACATTTGGGGGCATACTGGACAGCCTATGTGAAAGTAGATGGAATGTCAAATTTGAGTAATAGTAAACAGATCAATTTGGCTATAACATAAAATACATAAAGGGGAGCAACGTGAAAAAATAATGATGGTAATATAGAATGGAATCAGGTTAGGAATGCCTTTAAATATCAAGATAAGACTTGAGGATGACTTTGGGAAAAGGGTCCCCTTCACTCCCTCAACAAGTAATTGTAGTTTCAACTCTTACTCAGGTTTTGAGCTCCCACTTACTGTTGACTTCCATGTTCTGTCAAGTACTGCCCAGGAAAGGACTGCAAGAGTTCTGATTGTGTCTCTTAATTTTGCAAAAGATGTTTCATTTGATCATAGCAAATGTAATGTTCATTGGTTAGAAGAGGGCTCTCCTATCATGTTAATGCTCACCACTGAGGAAGAATTCAAGTACTACAAGATAATGAAAACTGTCCATTGGATGGAATTAAAAGCAAAACAGTTACACAAGCCAAAGATAATGTGTGGTTTCCACTACTTATGGGATGGTTGGGGAGTTTATTGTATGGAACTTGAAATTAGATCATGTGATTACAGCCTATTGGACTCATGACTTTATCTACCTTCATGGGCTTCCTGCTCAAGAAATCCTGGTACAGCTTAGAGGATGAAAAGGGAATTATGTTTTTTTACACAGTAGATAATATATTTGCTAAATTGGAGTCATATATATATATATATACATATATATAGTATATATGTATATATACACACATATATATATATAGTATATGTGTGTATTATATGAAAGTTGTTTTTTAATAGCATTCTATCTTCCCAATTGCATATTATGATTTTGAGTTTCAGATTCTTCTCCCTTCCTCCCTTCCCTCATCCCCTCCCCTCTTCCTAAAATGGTAGGCAATTTGATATAGGTTATATATGTGCAATAATGTAAAACATAACCGTATTAGTCACAGCTGTGAAAGAAGAAACAGATCAAAAGGGAAAAAAAACACAAAAAATGAAGTAAGTAAAAAAGTCTTCTTCGGTTAGCATTTGGA